TGAGGGGGTCGGACCAAGAGGCATTTGTCAACTGATCCGGGAAAACGTGAGTTACGTGGTACCTCCTTACATTGCCCTCAACTGTCCCCTTAGACGGGCGGAGGTGGCTCACGGGATAAAGGGGCCAAAATAACTAACAGTGATTAAGTTGGGCAAAGGAGATGGCTGCTGTTGACGGGCAGGGAGCCCACAGGTGGGGTGCCGGACACAGGTCGGCAAGACGGGGGGGAAGGGGGTGAGTAGGTATATAATTCGCCTAAACTGGTAAAAACAAACAAGAGAGGAGAGTGACTATTTGCTTACCGTTTTGCACTGGGGTGGAGCCTCCCGGGTGGCTGGGCCGAGACCGCCAGCCAAGGAGGCTTGACGACCAAGCTGAGTGACCAAGGCCGACCCAAAGTGCATGGTGAGCGGACTCATCACCTCCGTGATGAGTCTCCATTGTGATTTGAAAACTTCCATCAGACGAGTCCTTCGGGGGGCGGGGAAAAAAACGTGTTCGTCTGAATCGCCGCTTCCGGTACTGAGAGCGGAGGCCTGCTGGCAGACCCCTCTCAAATAATGCGCTGTGACGTGCAGTCGACACGTTGGATGCGATCCGAATGATCTAACGTATTTAGCTATCGCTGTTGTTGTCCAGGCGTCTCCCCGGCAAACTTTCAAGCGTGGTCTGCCGCAAGCGAGCGGCAGGAGCGGGGCTTTCAGCATCAGCTGTGTGCTTGGCTTTCTGTTTAAAACACCTTTTTTTTTTATCCATATCTCTCGCTAGAATTTCCCACCATCCAACTAACAACAACAACAACAACAACGTCAAGCCTTTGGGCTCTGAAACTACGGGGCGGGCCGAGGACAAATAAACATGCGTTAATCGCACGTTAAAATAATTAGTGGCGTTAAAATTATTTTCCGTTAGTGCGTTATTAACGCGTTAACTTGACAGCCCTATATCATAAAGTAGATACAAAGGTTCTTTGGCTGTGCTGTTGTTAGGAGAACCATCTGTATCATAATACCCTTTTATTCTTTCACTTGTGAACGCAAACACGTCAACATTTTCACTATAGTAACACCAGTCTCTACTTTATATCCAAAAATAGCACAAAGTACTTCCTTCCAACACGATGTATAAATACTGCCGTAATGAAACAATATATATCAAAGCATATTGGAGTCTGTTGTACCTTTTTAACCTGAAGCACTAAACAGATGGAATCAGGATGGGTCTTTATTTCCTTGTTATTTTTTGCTGAAACGCCTTTTATATTATAAGCCGCTGACAATCTGTTTTTGGAGAGGAGCTGTTCAGATTTACTTTCTTTAACTTATAGTTTTAAGTCCCATTAACTATACAGTGAGAAGCTGTATGACGATTTAATTTCAAAACTGAACTATTAGTGCATATAAACAACTTGCATTCACAACATATTTATACTATAAGATGGAACAGTAACATGAAAGGTTTTTGAATTTTAAAGAATATCTGTAATTTGGCCTTTGGATATTTTAGAAAATATGTTTTTCTTATCATCTTTGTACTTTCAATCTGATTAGTTTTACAGATAATTGCTCTGCAAACTTTACTTTTATTAAAGCTATGTGTTTGTATGACAGTATTCCACAATAAGATATTCATAGTAAAGTGAAATATTCAAGATCGGGTTGTTATGGCGCTTTTCCACTGCAGCACGTAGCACGGTTTAAGCGGGCCGGGCCA